AAAGGGGAGTGGAGTTTGCAGGAGACAATTAGTTTATTTAATTGGTTCGTGGCTCTCAGAGACTCCTTGCCAGGTTTTGCAAATCTCATCCTGGCAGCTCTCCAAGCCAGATAAGGTCTGTGACTGTAAATCCTCCCTCGAAAGACTTTGCTGGATGTGAATGAGCAGAATTCACAGTCAATTAATGAAAGGGGTTTTTGTCGGGACCAGGATTTTGCTTCCTGCTCTTGGGAAGCCTCGCTAAGAACACCCACAAGCATTCCTTCATTCTCAACATTACACCGTGATGCTGATCAGGAGAAATCAGGAATGTAAAGGTACCTTGACGCTGGTTTCTTTGGAGAGCCCTGTTTCGTATTGAGCGCACACCCGTACGATGAACGAACCTGGCAACCTGCCCCAGTTGGCTACGTGCCCCGGCTCAGATGTCTCCTGGAAGGTCTGAGTCCACTCTACTGAACGTGTCCGAAATACAGCCCCTGAGCTCTCCGCGTGCCAATCGTGGCTGGAGCTGAAAGTGGATCTCGTTCCAGATGGCACAGAGCTGCAGTGGCCAGCAGTCCTGCTCTCAGTCGGAGAGCTGTCCACTGAACCAGGACAAGACTTCCTGGCCCCAAAGCAGAAGGGCTTGGGGAAATCCAGACTGCTGGTCCGGACACAGTATGCCTGCCTTTTCTCCGTGATGCGCAGCAGCTCGATCTGTCGGCTGGGAAGCACGAAGTCACTGTCGTATTGCTCTGAGAGGGGCTGAGGTTCCTTCGGAGGCATGATGGGGGGCATTTTGAGCTCGTGGTTCTGGAGGACATCTGGGGCGCTGTCCCTAAAGGGGCGGGGGGTTCTTCTCCTGTAGCATTCGAGTCCCGAAGAAGAGTAGACGAGGTCAAGTTCTCGAGGGCTCTGGGCACTGCTGGAGTCATAATCGCTGTCGGTAGCTAAGAACACTTCTGAGGAGCCCTCCTCATCTGAGATCCCATGGGAATCTGCAAGAAAAATGTCAGAATGTGCACAGTAAGACAAGCTCAGAGGAAAATACAGTATACAGAGGTTTTGTCTTTCAAACAGTGGTTTATCTACAAGGCACAAATGCAACACAAAAATGGCTTTCTGCCTGGAAGGCTCCTAGGGTGGAGCTGAAAGGCAAAAGGGAAGCAGTATGCTCCCTCCCATATTGCTTTGACATAACAATCATTTCCTTGGCTCAGCTGATAAGGGAGGAGAGCTTGTGGCTTAGAGGCTAATACAACTGCCTAACA